TGTACTTAAGTACAGTAACGAAGTACTTGTACTTCGTTACTTCCCACCACTGGTTATTATAAAGACACGTAGAGCCCATTCTGAACCCTAAGAAGCCGTACAGCCGCACAGTAATTCAGTCCTGGTGAGGTGTTTTGTGCTTTTACATCTGAGAGCACATTAAAAGTGTGTTTGGGGATGTGTGTCATAAAAAAATTGGGGTGTCATGAGACATTTTATCTTCTAAACAAACGTAGCTACTTTACTCATTAGTCCTGAAACCTAAAATCATAATGTTTTCTCTGCAGAACTGCTAATCCAAATTTTCTATGATGATGTTCCAGTTTAGATTTCTCAGGTATATTTATCTTGGTCTTATGCCTTTGGGTAAAGAGATCAAAATTGAACCTCAGTTTTCAGTAATGATCTAGATTTACTTTGGGTACACGTTCAAAAACACTTAAAGAATCATCAAGTCTGGCTTCATTTTAACGACAAGTGCGCCCCTGAACAGCGCGATAGATAGTGGAGTTTCAGAGACACAAGTGTGTGATTACTGTAACAAACAAAAAAACAAAAGACTCACCTAAGCTGCAAACCAATTACTTCAAATAATACAGCCCATGACAAATGGTTAGCTATCAAAACAATTTCTATAACTTCTGTCTTATTTAATCCCTCAGTACCGCTATCAGGAGTAAGGTGGAGACACATTCAACCACTGAGGCAACTTTTTCACCTTCTGAGCCATTTTTGGTTCAGCAGGATGCTTCTTTTTAACTTAGTCAAGCTACAAACTCTTGACCAGATGCACCGAAGAGAACCACTGGTTTTCCTGGAAACCTGCAAAAGTTGATATGTTCATTTGGCTTGGGGATAGAAGCTAGAACTAAGAGGGATGCCTAAACTGCACTGAAAACAAGTGATTACAGATATTTGGCTTATAACTTACTAAACATCTCAATACAGGACAGTGGACAACTGTCCTGTATTGAGAAAGACTTTGCAAAGGAGATAAATCCACATTGCAGAAAAGTGATACTTTAGATACTAAAGCCAGTTTGAAAAAAACACAGACACCGAGTCGGGTGTTTATGATCCAGCAAAATGCAAAGCAGCAGGTGTCCAATCTCTTCATCTAATAAATCATTAAAATACCCATTAGCTTTACTCAATTGAATCCCAATGGAGTGATTCATCCTGTGAAATACAAAATAAACTTAAAGGAGCATGATAAAAATACTAGATGTCTACGTCTTATTTCTAAGGTACGAGGATACCACACACTGCAATATTTCTGTGCGCGATGGAATCATTTGTTTTAATATAATTCATAACAGAGTTGAAAGTTGAATCAATTAAAGGAAATGTCTTCATAGGAGCATTTTGATTCTATTAGGGTGTCAAAAATAGGTTTTTGTTGAGCTAAAATAAATCTCACATGAAACTTTGAAATTTGGTTTGAGCCTTTTAAAAATTTGGGGAAAATTAAGAAGAAATTTGCAATGGAAGTTGGGGAGCAGGCACAGATTTTTCCAAACGTGATTGTCTGATTTGATGTCAAATCTAAGCAACAAAGAAAAGGAAAAAAAGCATGTAATAACAAACAGGCAACCCCTTTTCCATGCAAATAGCTTGTGGAAACTCTTAACTCTGCTTTGCCTACATGAGTCAAACCTGGGAGGCGTTGATCGGCCACAAAAGTTCTCCGTGTTCTGTTAGGAGAACCACGGCATTTATTGAAACACCTAAGAAGCACCCGCAACTTTGGCATCTGTTCAAATTTATGTTATGACTTTAAACTATTGAGCAGAATGTTCTGCCACTCAGTAATAGAGAGACGGTGATTTGCATTGTCTTAAAGCAAATCCAGCTAAATTTGTAAAGAGGAAAAACAAAAGTCTAAGATTTAAGATAATTCCCTGCGTATTTACTTGTAAAGCCGCTGGTGCGTGAATAAAACGACCTTTACGTCGCTTCACGCAAAGCGTTTGCAGTATTTTTAATATCTCACCTTGATGCTGAACTTTGATCACAGAGGTGAGAAGATATTCTCCTGTGTAATGCTGATTGCAGTGATTTATTGACCAGAATAGCTCCAAGTTGTTCTAAAAGTAGAATAGATAGCTGTGTAAAGGAGTCACATGCAGTTAATAAAGTCTGACCCCTGTTCAATAGACACATTTTATATTTTATATTGATAAATGTAAACCGTAGAAAATACCAGCTTTCCCTTTTTTCTCTCTCTTTTAGGTTGTTCAAGAGGCATCAAAAGCTGGTCTGAGTTTGAAAGGCAACCAAACCACAGACGGCTTCTGGAAATTCACCAGCTCGGCTGTGTTTGCTGCCACTGTGGTCACAACTATAGGTCAGGGTCACATATTTTTACACACTTCCTGTGAACTATGACTTACTGAAAATGATAACCGGTCCAGTTACATATCAAGCTAATTTTGAAAATGATATCTAATCACAAAAGAAGGTCATAACGATAAACAGCGTGCCTAGATGATTATGTTTGATTCACTCTGCCAAGACTATTAGCTTTCTGAGCACAGCTAGAGTAGTAGTTAAAGGCTGGACCAGCTATGCACTGGTATTATAACATATTTAATAATTATTTTATTTATTCTATTTCTAATGTTTACTTCTATTTACCCTCATAGTAAAGATCTCGCAATTTAATGTCTTAAGCTCTTACTAAAGGGGATTAACCAACAGAGGCAGAAAAGGAGCTCAAGTCATATTTACAGCTACATTTGCAGGAACAGTTTCCATAGAATTGAATTTAGGAAGTTAGCAGCTTTAAACTGATCATAAGTACTATGGACATCTCAATAAAGCCAGTTTTGGTTTAATTTGCTGCCATAGAACACAAACAAGATGAGTGTCAACACGATACCAAAGTGAAAAGACAGCAGTAAAATAATCTTCAAGAATGTACAAAGGTTGGTGCCCATTTATAAAGGTTCTAAGACTTTTTCTAACCAATTTAGAGTTTGCCATTCAAGATTATTCTCAAGCAGAAAAAAAAAATCCTAGTCCTTTGAAAAGTATTAACATGCCTTACCTCATGATTCTCAAACTGGTCCTAAAATACCCCAAAATGCCCTGAATGTTTTTTTTAAACATGCAGGAGAGGGATACTTGAGGACGAGGTTTGGGAACCACCGCCTTTGCTTTTTTTTTTGTTGTTTTTTTTTGCCATAAGTGTCAACACTGGTACATAAACAGCACCATGCAGACCCAGGATCACAGCAGACAGCAGATCACAGGGGGAGGTTGAAACAGGGCTACATTATAAAACAATATCCCAAACTTTGAACATCTCGCAGAGCGCTGTTCAATCCATTATCCAAAACTGGAAGGAGTATGTCATAATTGCAAACCTTTCCAAGAAAATGGCAATCCACTTAAAATAAAAGGCTTTGTGTTGGCCTATCCCAAAATGTCTCAGTGAAATATATTGTACTTTGTGGTCATGACATGACAAAATAAAATAGGAAAAAAAGTTCAAGGGACATTTATGGTTTTGTAAGGCATTAAAGGACACAGTCTTCCCAAGAATGAACCTCCCAGCAAATTCACTCCAAGGTCAGACTTTGCAAAACTCCGAGTAATGTCTGAAACCCAGTAGCTCCACCAGTATGTTAAATGAGACCAGATGTCTGGCCATAGTGCACACCTAATGCCATGAGCTAAGGATGATGTTGGGGTGTTGGTGGTATGGGGTTGGTACACGCCATCAGCCTATAGGGTAATGTTAGTTTTAATTATTCATATTTACATAGATGAAGCTAAAACAGTTCATCTGCCATCATCTGGCACCAAACAGTGAGATATTATAATGTGTTTTATTATTATTATTATTATTATTATTTATTTATTTATTTATTTTTATTATTTTTTTTACAGGTTATGGGAACATGAGCCCCAGCACAACAACTGGTCAGATCTTTTGCGTCTTCTTTGCACTCTTTGGGATTCCTCTCAACGTAGTGGTGCTCAACAGAGTGGGCAAGTACATGCTCACATTGGAGAGAAATGTCTCAGACTTCCTGGAAGGCAAATCTGGACGAAAGGTAAGCAAGTGATGAGGACGAAGTAAGTATTGTTTTTGTTTTGTCTTGTTTCGTTCTTTGGAGTGTGACCAACATCACTGTTCTCTCTCTTTCTCTCTTTCTCTCTCTCCCTGGTAAAACTGCAGGGGTGCACCCGGTTTTTTGTCCACCTGTTTTGCTACATCTGTGGCACCGTCCTGTTCTTCATCATGCCCATGCTTGTGTTCCAGCAGCAAGAGGGCTGGACCTACTCCCAGGCCATCTACTACTGCTTCATCACCCTCAGCACCATTGGTTTTGGGGATTTCGTAGCAGGTACAGGGCAGCCCTAAATCCCAAACATCCGCTGACTGTCTTAACTTTTATTCTTGATTGGCACAAAGACACGATTCTTTGGTGTGTGCTTTCCAGATAGTAATCCAGACAAAAACTACCCTGACTGGTACAGCGTCCTCATGGCCTCGTGGATATTTTTCGGCCTGGCCTGGCTCGCCCTGCTCATCAACCACACCATTGACATCCTGGAGCGGCTTAACGCCCTCCTCAAAAAAGGCTGCTGTGGTGAGAAGACTGGGAATGAGTCTGAGAGCGCAGACAACGACAACCCTGACACTCTAATGGAGGATGACGACGAGATCAAGAAGCCTCCGATAACTCAGTAATCTACAACAACAAGGTGAAGGTTTTAGTGAGTCAATTACACGGCCATTAGCCCTGTACTTAGGATATGGGAACTGGTGACAGGCCGTGAGTACATGTGTTATCAGGCTGTAAATACTGTAATTCTTCATAATCGCCACTTCATTAGCGTGTGACTGATCAAGGGTTGTAAAGTTGTGATAAGTGGCCAGCGAGCCGAATAAGAAAGCGACATGTCTCATTATGTTCCACGGAGGAGATACAGTTTGTGTTTGCAGTTTGCGTAGAAAGTGTCACTTTTACAAATTTCCGGAGATGCAGCAAATAGTCATACATGAATCTGTGTAAAAAAAAGTAATAACCATGTTTCACTTAGAAGTGATCATCCTATTTTGTTATTCTCTTAAATACTTAAGGGAACCACTTTTACTGGTTTTATCAGCAGGAAAATAGCTACAGGAATGCAAGCACCAGGCAGGACGAAGAAAACTTCAGTCAGTAGCAGTTCTTGTATAAATTCTTGTATAAAAACTGTAATTAGTTATTCCCTCCTTTGCGCTCACAGGCATGAAAGAAGAGATATTCAATATATTCTTAAAAATAAGGAAGAATCTAATTCTCTTTTTTTGTAGTTTCCATGAATCCAAACATGTTTATTTTTATGTTTTCACTCTTTCTTTAGGTTTTTAAGAGAGTGAAAATGTTCAAATACATAAAAGAGGAAAGTGTACACAAACAAAGAGCAAACTAGAATTTCTTGAAAATTTAGAGATCGCGATCTTTTTCTTTCAACAGCATCCATTTGTGCACTCAATTTCTCACATTTTTATTGTAGGTAAAATACTTTTTTTTTTCTTTTTTCCATAAAGTAGATTTCTGATTCATTGTTTTGGCTTTGGGGGGGCAGCTTTTAACCGTCATTATTTTGAAGAAATAGAGGTCCTATAGTTTTTATGTCATTGGTCTTTTTTGGGTTGTTAGGGGTTTTAATGTTACCCTTCTGACTGGGTGTTCCTCATCTTTTTCAAACGTGCCATTGTTGAACAAAAACTTAAATAACCCCAACTTGGATCCAACATTACATAAAACCTATAGGCCTTTTTCCAAACCCCCTTTTATGTCAAAGCTTTTTGAAAAGGCTTTTGCTGCCCAACTTACAGCCAAGTGGGGAAAAAATGTCTTTTATGGCTGCTTTCAGACTGGTGTTCGTAAATTTTATTCCACGGTAACAGAACTTTTTAAAGTCACCAGTGCTATTATGATAATAATAGATTTTGGGGAATACACCACCCTGGACTTGTTAGATCTCTCCTCAGGTTTTGACACAGACTGAGGGATCCGGTTGGGAAGTCTGGCAGGAGTTTTAGTGTGTCTGGTAACCAGATTATGTCTGGATCTAAACCGAGTTTCATGGAGTTCCTCTGGGCTACATGCTGGGAACTGTTGCTTTTTCATGTCATTAAGTACCTTTGTAACGGTTCTCATGTTGTCATTGATGATGTTTTTATACTCCTCATTTAATCCCTGAGTTTCAGAAATTGTCTTCTTTAATAATCACTTAAACATTAGGCAATTGTTAAAAAATAAAAATAAAAAAATTACTTCCAGCTACAACCAGGCAAATTTGACATTTTGTTGACCACTCCAAACGGTAATCTGTTTTAGGACTTGCAGACACTCAGAGACTTAGGTGTTATTTTTAAGTAGGCTTTTTACCATTGAGCATCAATTAAGCAGATGATTAAAAACTGTTTATTTTTTAATAAACAGCTTTGAGGATCTCAAAGCTTAGAATAATGATGTCAACAAGTAACTTTAAGATAATAATTCATTCCTTTATCTCAACTGGACTATCGTAATGTCCTTTTTACTTGCTCAGGAAGAAGGGGCTGGCTGCTCTTCAGGCTGTTCAAAACTGCAGAGAGACTATTGTTGAGCTCAACCAAAGGAACTCATATAGCCTATGTTTTATAGTTGCTACACTGGCTGCCAGTCAGATCAACGTTTTACTTTAAAATGTTATTCTTAACCTTCTGAGCTTTACACGGACAAGCTTCTTCGCCTATTGTTGATTTGATTTAAAGATAGGCCTCTCCCCATGTTCTGGAGTTACTGAATCAGAGCCTTTTTGTGGTCCACTGCACATCTGCATCAGAACTCAAGGAGACTGATCTTTCCAAGCTGTTGACGCCCAGACTGTGGAAATGCACTGCCTGTATAGTTTTGGACTCTGTTGATACCTTTAAAAACCAGCTAAAAATGTTTTTATTAAAAGCTTTAGTGGGTTTTTGTAAAATGCATTTTTGACTGTGTTGTGTTTGTCTTTGTTTTTTGGTCGGCATTGTACGTTATATGTTCTTGGGCTACTCTTTTTGTAAATCACTTTGTCTGCATGCTCACTTTGAACTCGTGCTGTATAAATAATTTTTATTTATTTTACTCACTTGCTTAAGTACTGGTATTATCCCCAGGTACCAAACATAGAGATCGCTGTAGACTGTACAACTTGAGCTGGATTCACAAAACCTAATAACATCTTTACAAAAAGACTGAAGTTCAGGAAGTTGGAAAATAATATTTAAACAGTTTAGGCCATATTATATTTTACAGTTTTCATGCTTGTCTCAATTCCAGGCTGTTTAGATAGCCGTGATACAAAAACAACATTTTAAGTGCCCCCAGTTTGTCGTTTCACAAACATCAATAAAAGGTTCCACAAAGATGAAGCTGTGACAAAAGTGATTCTTGTTCAAATAACTTTTTGTCTTTAAAATCCTGTAGAGAAATTATATTGTGCTTCTGCTATGGAAGCAGGTCGAAGCAGAGTGGAAACCTCCACTGAATCTGTCTGCAGTTCAAACTCATCAGCTGCCAGCTCCAAGGCACGTGGCAGCCGACCGTCTTTGACACATCGGGGTTATAAAACAGGGTCGTTCAAATTAAACGTTCAAATCTAACCTCAAATCTGGAGATTGAAATATGAGACAAATGGTTATGTTGCGCAATATGATTAATGACTCTCCGAGAGGAGTTTGTGTATGTGGTTTTGCATCAACTATCTTATATTTGCTTAAAAAAAACATTTGAAATATATTGTATTGTCTTAAAGACAAGATGGAGTTAACAATATAATGAAGACATCTTAAAATAAAAAATGTAGTTTTATCTGCATCTTTATTATTTTATCAGTTCAAAATTATATTAATGTAACAACTTATTTCTTTCTTTAGCCTACTGCTGGTATCAGGTACAAAATCAAATATTAGAACGGATATGCACACTTGAGAAAAGACCTCATCAGATAACATAGTTTTTATGTATTTCTGTGCAAAGGTTATTGTGCATGATATCTGCATGCTATTTACTTATAGATTTCTGTTCAATATAGTTACAGTAACATATTGTCACCTTCCTAAGATAATGGCCTAAGTCTTTTTTTTTTGCCAATTTATTTTTCATTATTTTATTGTTGTTGTTATTTATTTTATTTATATTTTTGCCTACAACAGCTTTTGTAAAGAAAAAAAATGACATGATAGGTCATTATTTTTGGAAGTGACAATTTGTAAGATCAGGTTTGTTCAATACATTTGTGCTGAAGTAACTTTGGTAACCACGAGAGGGCAGTGCAGAGCAAGCATAGTAGAAATACATAAAGGCAAATAAGCAAACACAGAATGTACTTTGAATAACGCAAATTCACGGTATTGATAATGTCTCCACAGTCGATATAACTTTACAGTAATAAAATGTATATATTTAGCCAAAATTTGACCTGATGCAAGTTTTTCTGACTATTACGTCATTGGCCCAAAGTCTAGAGAGGAAGAGTCGTGCGCTCGCTTGTGCTTTGGCACTCTAGTTAGAAATGCAAAGGCGTCTTGAGGCTCATATATCAGAAAGTCAGGCTACTCTGAGATTGAGTAAATAGCAAAGACAGACGGAAAGCAGCAGGGGCGGAAACTGAGAACGTGTTAGACAGATGCACAGCAATGAAAGACACATTAAGTTGGTGGAAAAAGTGTGGAAATATCTAAGGGGAAAGTGTAAGATTCCAGACTGCAGAAGAAGGCAGTTAAGTTTTTTTTTTTTTTTTTTTTTTTTTTTTTTTCCCGTGGGGGGTGTGAAAATACTGTAGAGGGGGAAAAAAAGAGTGACTGAAAAAAAGACTGCCGTCCAGCTGAATGCCTTTCTGGACATGGTTGATTGAGAATTGTAAAGTGCAATAGACTTAACTTTGCTGTTTGCATGCATATTAACCACAGTTAGAAAAACAAATCCACCTAATTTCATTGCTACAGGCAAGGGTTGGATATTCTAAGCTGAATCAGTGTGGTAAAGTAATTTTTTTCTATTAATTAATTTACACAAGATGAGCTTGTTACTTTTGTGGTGTGTTCGGTGTGACGTCACCTTGGAATTCAAGACGTCAGGTTCTCATTTTACAAGAAAATTTGAGAGATTTCCGAAATCCCCTTCCTTGGAGCGGCTGCCATTTATAAAGTCGGGTTCTAGCTTGTTCATGGGAACCTAAGCATCTTTCTGAGCACAATTTATAAAGGCAAATGACGTGACTGCTTAAATTGTAAATGCAGTACCAGGATCTGGTGACGTGTGAATGCAGTAACCAGGTATTTATGGATTACATAGATGATAAGTTGCAGCAACTATCTGCACAAAGTGCTTCTTCTTAAAACGAAACGCATACAAGCAGGGGGAGAGAGGACAGACAGTAATGCCTATGTGTGAGCATTCTCCATGTCAGCAAACACCGCATGGTGCATGACCCTTGACTTCCAGAACCCACCCATTAAAAGTGTCTCGCAAAACGTTTCACGTCTCTGGGCTTTCTTACATGACGTCCAGTTATAACCAATAATTTCAGTGTAATTTATTGGTATTTTATATGTCAGAACAACTCAAAGTAGTGTGAGGTAGAGTAGCTGGGGACTGCACTGTATCACACTAAAAGCATGCCTCCCTTCTGACTAAGCAACACGGGTTGAGTACATAAAGAATAAAGAAATGCTCCTAAATGCACACAGCAATATAAGTTGCTTCTTTTCCAATAACATTTATAATCACCTAGAGAGACACAGAAGATGGATTAACCTGCGCAGAACATTTTTCCTTGCTCACAAACTGCTGCCAAGATTCCTCAGCCTCATGTAACATTTCTAAAAAAAAAAAAAAAAAAGAAAATAGGGCAATGGCAAAATACAAGTAGTTGCATGTCATCTTCTGCAAGAAAGTTTATGCAAATCATATGAGCTTACACAGCACATTTAGACTGACGGTGGGGGGGCAGAATCAGCACATTCTGATGAATTCAAATGAAATTGAGATCAAGAAAACATTCCAGAATGACCACATTTCATATTCAAAACTGTCATATTTCTGCAGAACGACAGAAATATGACTTTGTGGTTAGTTGTAGTGAAATTTCAAATATTTTGTCTCAGACCATATCAACGCCTTGTCAGCAGCGGTTGGTTGCATCACAACATGGCTGTGGTTAGGAATCATTGACAAGTAAGACTCACTGTTGCTCCAATCGTGGGGCTGATACAGAACTGTGGACCGTATGCCGCGAAACTGGGACTGTAGTAAAAAATAAAATACTGCAGAAGGGAAGTAATGTTTTGTAATAGAAGACTTGAAGAATGCTACTTCATATTTTACACACATTTAGAGTGAACTTGTTTTTTTTATTTAACTCATTTTATTCAACTTCAAAGCCACCCTTCAGACTTTTCAGTATCATCACTCATTTGTTATTTTATAAAGGCAAAGTCTGTTCTCCCAGAAACAAGTTGCAGGTCCATGGTGACATCAAACAAAGGACCCGGTCAGAGTTGTTTTGATACATTCATTTTTATTCTTGTTCATTTTCTCTCGTTGCTCACATTCTCATTGAAATGACTGCAAGGCAGATGGATTTATAATGGCCCTGATTTATCTAGTTAGCCATCATTGGCAGCAGGGTACGAGACATGAAATACGATCAGCCAGTGGCAATTCTAGCATGAACTGACATGAAGTGAGCTCAAGAATGAGCAGAGAAGAGATTTGGACTATATATGTTTTTGAGAAGAACCTACTATCTGTTTTGTTTGCTTTATTTCACAAGTAGGTGCCACAAATCCCAAATGTGGAACAAACTTCCAGAAAACTCCAAAACAGCCAAAAACCAGAACACTGATCAATATGTTTGATCAGTGGTGATTTTGATGATGGTATGTAATGGTTATTGCTTGTTTCACTTTTGGTTATTGTGTTTTGTTTTTACAATGCAAAGTACTTTGAACTGCCTTGTTGCTATGCAAATAAACTTCACTTGTGCAATCAGTGTAAAAATAAAAAAAAATACATATTGTGATTTCATACTTGTGTCAAACCAAAGGAAAAAAAAATAAAGTGTTCTTTTAGGGGATTTGACAAAAAGAAGGAAGTTTTCAGGAATCTATAGTCATTCTTCAAGTCTCCGTTCAGGTCTGACTTGTTGGAAATTTAGAACTGAAACTACATCTGATCTAATGCAGACCAGATTTAGTTTAGTAATGAACACAATCTTCACATGAGTTACTTTAATACCCGTCAGTAGTGTCTGTTAATATATTCTTAAAGTCTACACAACACAAAAGTGCCTCCCTCATGTTTACCGAAGACTCCGTTTTTTGTTGTTTGTTTTCCTTTGCAAGAAAGCGTGCCTCCCACTCAGGACACCCGTGTCCCATATTACGCATTTAAAAAGTGGCACTGTGCTCACGCATTAAGGACAGAGAGAAGTTGCTGTGGTAAGATGCAGTGATGACTTAGACTTGGACAGGAAGCTAAACAGGTTTGTGTCAATTAGAGTTCTGAGGACAATCATAGTCACTGTTACAGTTTGCAGTAGGTTCACCATCCGAGTCAACGCACATCCTGGCTTGTGGGGCGTCAAAGTCAAACTCTGGCTCAAGCATCTAAGTTTAAACCCTGAAGCAGCTTAAAAGCTTTAGAATTTATACGGAAACGTTTCAACGTTTTCCCGTTTCATTGTACCTGTTGTGACGTAAATTCACTCCAAGCGGAATAAGCAGTTTCTCTTCACCTTCTTACTGATAAATTTTGAATACCTGTGGAAATTCAGACTTATTCAACAAGTTGTATTTGTCTTCAATAGTTAATGTTGTTTTGTGTTTCTCTCTGTTACACTTTAAGGACAACATTCCCATTCTGTCTCCGAAGTGTCCTGCACTCACCTGTTTTGGTGACACATACCTCTCTGCGTCAAACCTCTGTTTGTGTGCATTTTTGAACCTGACAGATTGTGCAAGCTTCTTGTTTACTTTCCCTTGCGAAGCATCAGCTGCAGCTCTCAGGCGAATCCCAGCAATTACTGTAATCAGCCGAGTGACATGCTTGCGCAGAGTTACGGCGGTTTGCAAGTACTGTGGGAAAATATATTTAGATATAAAAAGCTTCGCTCTCCTTATGCGGGATCTCTTGAGCAGCACATTGAGATGTTTTTGCCTGAATGTGTTTGTCCTCTGGAGGTGGAAATAGATGAGGGTTGCCTCCTTGTCTGTGCTTTCACCTTTCTCCTTGCGTCAGTACGGGTTTTTGAAGGCAAGTGAGAAAACACATAAAAACAGGATGTTTGGCTTCAGGAAAAAAAGAAAAAAAGAGTGGGGAGGAAGAAACCCAGAAGTACAAAGGTCATGTTCAA